ATTAAATGGCATGGAAGCGTTAGCAAAGTGAGTATTCATAAATCTTTAGAAAAGCCTAATTTTAATGTAGTGGCAGATATTTCTCTCTCTGGGTGCAAAGAGAAAATATCTACTGTGAACTCCACATAGGGATCAGGAAGGGCATCTGGCCAGTAACTGTTCAGCTCCATTCAGTTGCCCCAACTATACACCTATGGAAAGGATTATAGGGTCATTAAAAGAAAAGAAAAATGTTTCAGGGTAGGAGGAGAGAGAGAGAGAGAGAGAGAGAGAGAGAGAGAGAGAGAGAGAGAGAGAGAGAGAGAGAGAGAGAGAGAGAGAGAGAGAATTTTAATCCCCTATTTCCTCTTTGTTTCTGTTTTATTTGTTCTTTAACCTGTAGACCTTTATCAGCTTTCTGGGGAAAAAATGGGTTTACAAGGATTTTCCCTACATTTTCCACAACATATGAACTCTTTGTTTCCAGAAATGTTTTGAAAAGGGAGTAGCATTTGTTCCTTGTCTATTTCTCCCTAAGTAAAACCAACATTTTTGGGAGGCGAATTCAGTTTATAGTGACAGTAGTGACAAATTTGGGAAACAATTCTAAATGACTAGCATTTTAAGGTTCCTTCTCCTGCCTCTGTCATTCAGCTGTCCTCCAGCTTTGGGGTTTCTTTCTCCAAAGGACCTTGCAGATCTGCTGCTTAAAATTCATTTAAGAGCTACAAATAGACTCCAAATTCACAGAGGTAAAGAGATCCTTAGTAAGTCCTTGGGAGGAGGAGGAAGAAAAAGAAAAATAGAATAACAGAGTTGGAAGGGACCTTGGAGATCTTCTAGTCCAACCCACTGCTTAAGCAGAAAACCCTATACCATTTCAGAGAAATGGTTGTCGGAAAAAAAGAAAGAGGTGGAGGAAGAAGAAGGAAAAGGAGAAGGAGAAGAAGATTGTTCATAGTTAATTCTATATCAAGAGTTTAGGTTAAGATAAGTATACTTTATATGATAAATTCAGCATTGTCCAGGAGGCATTAATTGTAGTGACCTACCTACCTACCAACTACCTACCTATTTACCTTCCAAACATGTGTAAACTGATGGTTAATTTGTTATGTCATGCCAGATAACCTCAACCTAACCTTTCATTTTTTATTTTTTTATTTTAAAGGTCCATCCTCTTTCCTTGTGTAATCCTTATTGCCAACCTGGTTCTCAAAAAAGGAAAAAAGAAGGAGAGAAATTTTGCTGCTATGGATGTGTTCGGTGTCCAGAAGGGAAGATTTCCAATGAAAGAGGTAAATTACACAGTACAGCAACTCTTCCAACATAATGGATATAAAGAGGGTTGGAGAACATCAAAATGGCCAGGTTTGACAGCATCTCTGCCCCTTATTCTTCTTTTTATCTCTTTTCTTAATGCTTTATCTTAATTCTTTATCTTAATTCTTTTTCTTAATGCTTTATCTCATGCTTAATGAGAATTGGAGGGATATTCCATATGGCAATTGTTGAGAAGTGTTGTGTCAATAGAGCTTGGGCCACATAAGTTATATAACAATATATTCTTCTTTAATATAGTATCATTATGACTTTGTAGGACTTCATATTTTAAGGAAGAAAGGTCCTTCAAAATACATGGGTGCATGAACATAGTACCCATGTGCTATTTTCTTTAATTCAAGCAGATCTTTTCTTGGCCATATCTCTCAATGGGGGCATGATGACTCAGTGGTTAAAGACACTGAGCTTGTTAGTTGAAAAGCTGATAGCCTGGGTTAGAAACCTGAGCACCACACAATGGGATGATCTCCTGTTACCTTCCCTAGCTCCTGCCCACCCAGCAGATCAAAAGCATGCAAATGTGAGTAGATAAATAGGTACCACTTTGGTGGGAAGGTAAAAGCATTCTGTGGGCCTCGGTGTATAGTCATGCTCACCATATGACGCCAGAAATGTCTTCAAACAATGCTGGTTCCTTCAACCAAGAAATGGAGATGAGCACCACCACCTAGAGCCAGACATGACTGGAAAGGGGAAATCTTTATTTTTATCTATCAACCATCATATCACCAGGAGAAGGCACAGATGGTTTAGAGAGTTACAGAAGTGGTTAACTGAAAGGATTTTTCTTTCCTTCAAACCCGAAGCTATACCCAGTGGCTCCTACTTCCCCCCCCCCATCCATTATTCCTTGAGGCTGTGTATGTTCAAAGGAAACAATGTAAAAATATACATGAAGCAGAATTGAGCTGATAACAGGAAGGCAAATGGTTGAACTTCCAAATGCCTAAATGTTCCTTTACACTGCTGATACTTTAGAAAGTGTGAAAGAGCTCTTACAATTTTAAAACTGTACCAAATTAATCTTCAGAGCTTTGAGGTAGCACTGGTGAAGAAAATTTGTGTAGGTTTTGTGCTTTAAAAAAATCTAGAACACATTATAATATTAAACTAGGATGAATAATCCAAATAATAACTATATTGATCTTTCTAGGATACTGGTTAGAAGGACAATCGGACAATAATGGGTGTTTCTTCACAAAGTTCATTTCTCTTGTGGAATCATGAGTGATGGGCCTCTTTTTTAAAAGACTGACATGAGAACTGAGTCATTTCACATAAATTTAACACTGCCTTAATCTGTTTTCCTGCATCCAGACACAGAAGATTGCTTCACATGTCCATCTGATCAGTATCCAAACCAGAAACAAGATGAATGTTTTCCCAAAATGATTGTTTTTTTGTCTTATGAAGAACCGCTGGGCATTTCCTTAGCCACAAGCGCCATCTTCTTCTTCTCAGTCACAATTTCAGTATTAAAAATATTCCACCTGCACAAAGATAGTCCCATAGTCAAAGCCAACAATCGGGACCTCACCTATGCTCTTCTCATCTCTCTTTTGCTCTGCTTCCTCTCACCTTTCCTATTTCTTGGTAAGCCCGGGGTAATGACCTGCTTCCTTCGGCAGCCAGCCTTTGGCGTCATCTTCTCGCTGGCTGTTTCCTGTGTGTTAGCCAAAACTATTACTGTGGTGGTAGCTTTCATGGCCACAAAGCCAGGATCCAATATGAGGAGGTGGGTGGGAAAGAGGCTCACTGGTTTTATTGTCCTTTCCAGCTCTTCCATCCCAGTAGGCATTTGTGCTGTATGGCTAACAATCTCTCCTCCATTCCCAAATTTGGACATGGACTCACTGACTACTGAGATGGTAGCAGAGTGCAAGGAAGGTTCTGTTGCTATGTTTTATCTTGTCTTAGGCTACATGGGAATTCTGTCCATAATCAGCTTCAGTGTTGCTTTTCTAGCTAGGAAGTTGCCAGATAGTTTCAACGAAGCCAAATTCATCACCTTCAGCATGCTGGTATTCACCAGTGTTTGGCTGTCATTTGTTCCAACTTACCTGAGCACCAAAGGAAAATACATGGTAGCTATGGAGATCTTCTCCATTTTGGCTTCCAGTGCTGGGCTTTTGGGATGCATATTTTTCCCCAAATGTTTCATAATTGTGCTGAAGCCTGAACTGAACAACAAGGAGCAGCTCATGAAAAGAAAGCAGATGCAAAAATAATACACAATGAATATCTACTATGGGACAGATACAGTGGACTTTATGTATCTGCTGATCAAATCATTCCATCCAGTTTCAATTTATTTTCCAATTTACTTGTTCATCCCAACCCTCCCCACAGAATTACAGTAAATGCATGTCAATAAAAGATGAAGATTAAATTTGTGATTTTCATGTAACCTGTATGCTGTTGAAGTTTCTCCTTAGTTCTAGGTTGCTTCTCTCCTTGATTAGTTTCCATCCGTTGCTTCTTGTCCTGCCTTCAGGCACCTTGGAAAATAGCTTGACTCCCTCTTCTTTGTGGCAGCCCCTGAGATATTGGAATACTGCTATCATGTCCCCCCTCGTCCTTCTCTTCATTAAACTAGACATACACAATTCCATCAACCTTTCCTTATATGCTTTAGCCTCCAGTCCCCTAATCAGCTTTGTTGCTCTTCTCTGTACTCTTTCTAGAGTCTCGACATCTTTTTTACATCGCGGTGACCAAAACTGGATGCAGTATTCCAAGTGTGGCCTTACCAAGGAATTGTAAAGTGGTATTAATACTTCACATGATCTTGATTCTATCCCTCTGTTAATGCAGCCCAGTACTGTGTTGGCCTTTTTGGCAGCTGCAGCACACTGCTGACTCATATTTAAGTGATTGTCCACTATTTTCTATTAAATAATGCTATTTTTAATGCTTCTAAAATTATTTGATTGTAAGATTAGACATGGAATTGAGAAACAAAGAGGAAATTTCTGCAATATTATTTTAGTAAATTATCTTAGGAGTTGATATGTAAAAAGATAAATGGTAGTCATTAAATGAAGAGTTAAAATTATAGACATGATAAAGATAAATGGGGATTTGATGATTTCATCCCATAAAATGTTGTTGGAGTAACGGTTGGACAAACCTCTTAAGATACTTCCTCCTTCTCCTCCTCCTCCCAATTCATCATCATCATCATCATGAAGGATGATACCAACTGGAGTGGGGGGGATCCTTACATTTTGAAAAATAGACTCAGGATTCAGAAGGATTTTACTGACTTGAGCATTGGGTCCATTGTGCTCCAAGAAGAAGCAGCTCATTGGTGAGAAAAGTAAGGCCTGGCTCAACAGTAGTGTCTGTGAGAGGATGTCCTGGTGGATCAGTGCTTAAGGATGAGCAAGTAGCATGCTACAGCTGCCAAAAAAGCCAATGTTGTCCTAGGCTGCATCAATAGAGGGACAGCATCTTTGGATGACAAAGTTGTCAGCTATGTTTATTTTCAAATATGGGATGTATTTTATCAATGGCTGGAAAAATGGGTTAGAGATTAGGAATTTAATGTGTATTATTAAGCAAAACAAATAGACCCAGACAACACACTGTTTACTAAGCACTTATGCATTGTAAATGTAGAAAACTATTAAAATGTTATAAAAAAAATAGATGGACAGCATCAAGGTCACTGGAAGTGATAGTACTCTTCCATAGGAACTAGTAAGGCCTTTGCATATTGGGCAGCAGTTTTGCCAATTCCTGGACTGGAACAGCATGCTGATTACTGACCTCTCATTTGGAGTAGTTTAATGCATTCTACATGGAGATGACCTTGAAGACCATCTGGGAACCAGAATTAGGTGTACATCTCTTTAGGCCCATTTAACACTGCTAGTTTGTGAGTTGCATTGGCTTCCAATAGGCTCCTGTTATGATTCAAGGTGCTGGTTATCACCTTTGAAGCCTTACATGTCATAGAAAGGGGCATCATGTGGGGGCCACTTTATTCCAAGAACACCTGCCTGCCCCACTTGCTCCCATAGTAAAAGCATGCTCCAAATTTCTCCTTTTAAACTTTCACACATAGCTGGCAGAGCATGGAAAGCAATCTAGTTGCCAGCTTCCATTCAAGAACAACAAATGACTAAGTATTCATTTTGAGGAAGAGAAGTTTTAGGCTGATAGAGCAAAGCATTTTTTCACTGTGTATCCTGCACAGTAATAAGTACCGGTGTCCTCAGGCTTTAAACCAGTCAGTTGAAGGAACACCTGGTTTTTGGACGTATCCCTTGTGATGCTGATCCGATTCTGGAGAGCACTGTTATACTGAGCGCTTCCACTAGCCCAGATAACACCATTCCATTGTAATGTCTTTCCAGGGGGCTGACGGATCCAGGACACTCCATAGCTTGTGATGGCAAATCCAGAGACTGTACAAGTCAGCCGTAGAGTATCTCCTGGCTTCTTAAGGCCATCACCAGACTCAGGAAGTGTAATCTGAGATGAAATACCCATATTGAAAAATATATAAAGGACAAAAAGAGAAAATGGGTATGAGGAAATGTACAAAAAAGACCACTTGCTATCTTAAAAAATGTTGTTTTTTTTCCCCTTACATGCAGGAAAGATCATTAAGAAAGAAATAAAGATATGTAGCTCCATGATGGAGGAATGGAATTTACTCTCTCCACCTGAAACTGATCTGAACTATATTCTCAATTACCGCCTTTAAGAAAAAGCCACATCAGGAATATTTGCATGAAATCATAGATGGTAGAAATATAACCAGTTCACATCCTCAACTTCAACTATTGTGTAACAGCAAACCTTGAACTCATATCAGGAATGTTGCATATCCACACTCCCTCTACTATACAATGATATTCGCTCTGGTGAACAACTTGTGTAGCTGTGGATCAGGTGAAATCCCTTCTAGCTGAATTCAGTTCAGAATGAATTCATAGACAAGACCATGTTGTTTTCTTTGAATTGATACAGAAGATGTTTGATGAGATGGTCTTCCTGAATTTGTTTTGATTTCCAATCTAGACTAGAGTACTGAGAATTCTATATTCTTCCATCCAAGTTTTAGAAAAGCCTTATCTTCCTGGCTTGAGGAATATTGGTAGATTAATAAATATATTTTTCCCATAATGGTCAGTATAAATATATCTATTTAGAAAACTGGTCTTAGAAACTTCAGTTATATGAAGGTGTTCTTGCCTTATAAACTGAGCACCAATGGGTACAAACCATTTTATGAAATAACACAGACCCATTGAGGTATATACAACATTGCCTCTCTTCAGGACCAAAAAATGGAAGTGACTGAAAGTTCAGGTGTGGGGAGACTTGAAGACCATGAATGGAAACACTGAGAATGGCTACTGATGCTGTCACTATAAACTCTTCCCTTCCCTTCCTATCACAATATTGCCTTATAAATCCATCTGTCTTCTGTTTTTTAAATGATGCTCATTTAACAAAAAGGTTAATTGGGGGAAGATTAATTTTATGACTTGCTATGGACAGGAACATCACTTGATCCTGTTTGCCTTTATGTCCCCTATCATAAACAACAGCTGCCAGTCAAACAGCAGCATCAAGCATGAAGTGGGGAGAAGGGAATTAAAAATGGAAGCCAAAGGAAGAGAAGAGAAGAGAAGAGAAGAGAAGAGAAGAGAAGAGAAGAGAAGAGAAGAGAAGAGAAGAGAAGAGAAGAGAAGAGAAGAGAAGAGAAGAGAAGAGATGAACACTTTTGTGTAAGCCTAGATGTACATACCTGAGAGATAGGACCCAAAAATAGCCTGACTTCCTATCCGAGTGGGCCAGGTGGAGGAATTGGGCTGTATGTTATTACCTTATTCTACTGCATTAAAAAAAAGAATTGGAAGTCAANTTTTTTTTGTACGTTATATTTTGATAAACTAATAAAAAATTAAAAGTAGAAGATGTTCTTTAGACCTCTTTAGAATAGAATAGAGAGGTCTAAAGAACATAATCTATTTTTAATTTTTTATTAGTTTATCAAAATATAAACTACAAAAAAATAAAGGGAAAGACCTCTTACAAGAGCAGCTATCTCAACAAATGACTTTGGGCGACTTACCTATAAAAATATCAATACAATGCAATTTTGTATAATAATAATAATAATAATAATAATAATAACAACAACAACAACAACAACAACAACAATAATAATAATAATAATAATAATAATAATAATAATAATAATAATAATAATAATAATAATAATAAAAACAACCCATAAAATATACAAAAAAAACCACAGCAAAGAATGGCAACCAGGAGTAAATTCATCAATAACACATACATAGAACTCCTAAGTTTAACCACCTCCCAATCCCCGTGACTAAGCGGAATCTCAGGAGAATTCATGCTGGCTGGAGAATTTGGGGATTTGAAGTCAAGACATCTTAAGTTTAAAATATGTGGAATGAATAAACAATCAATCAATGTCTTTCAGCTCTGAGGACACTCCTGCTAGACAGCTGCTCCAGATGGTAAGTGAATGTTTCCTTCTCTATTTTTGTTCTTCCTTTGTGGTTTCTTCTATTTTTGGATTCTGAACTTTTTTTTTTCCTGAATAAAAGCATGATGGAACAACAGCTCCACCTCCAGGAACATCCTTCTAAGATTTAGTGGAGGAAAGAGTTTTTTCATGAGTTAAGGTAAGATTTTCAGCGTTGTGTATCTCCAGTGCAATAATAGACATCCGGTGTCTTCTGTCCTTAGATCATTCATTTGCAGATAGAATTGAGAGTTGCTTTTGAAGGCAGAGAATCTCCCTCTGATGGCTGGAGAACAGTGGTTGATTGTTTCTGTTGAATAGTGAGCCAACCATTCCGGACCCTTCGCTGGAAAGTGCCGGATCCAAGGCAGGCCATAGTTATTTATGTCAAATCCTTTTATAGAACAGGTGAGTCTTGTGGATTCTCCTCCTCTTTTTTATTCTGGACACGATTGAGTGAGAGTGACTTATGAATCCCCATCTGGAAATGAAAGAGGCAGATAGATAACTTTAATGAAGGATCAAAACCAGTAGGATCAAGTGATATCCCTGTCTACAGCAATCTTCTCACAATTTAACTTCTTATTAAACAACTATTTTTTATTTTAAAAAAAGTCAGAAAGATTTACATGGTGGTGTTGTGAGGAACAATAACATCTTGAAGAACCATAGCATTGTGGTGAATGGAAAACTTAATAAAGCTGTGATCACTAACATTGGCCGAAAAGAAGTCCTTTTTCCTTTTTTTTTTTAGTTTTTATTGTTGTTTTAATACAATTCAGTAGTACTTGGTGAGATCATGCACCTGTATAGAGTGAGGCATCATCAATATGGAGAAGATACCCAGAGTCACAGTATATCTCTGCCCCCATCCATCCAAGTGAAGCTGTTGAGGTTCTGTTCTAGGGCTGTGAGGATCTGGAGGGGGTAGAACAGGTTGCAGCTCAACGCTGAGAAAAGTGAATCATTCTGGCATCTGGCTATCGGATCTAATTAACCGAGTCTTTCCATTTTTGATCTTGGATAGAGTAGCATTGCCCTTTTTGGACTTGGTGAACAATCTGAAGTTCTGAACTCAGCTTCTGCTTGATGAAGATTCAACAGCTATGATCATGGGGGCCTTTGTCTATTGGGCAGCAGTATTGCCAATTCCTGGACTGGAACAGCATGCTGATTACTGACCTCTCATTTGGAGTAGTTCAATGCATTCTACATGGAGCTGCCTTTGAAGACCACCTGGTAACCAGATTTCTGTGTACATCTCTTTAGGCCCACTTAACACTGCTAGTTTGTGAGTTGCATTAGCTTCCAATAGGCTCCTGTTTTGATTCAAGGTGCTGGTTATCACCTTTCAAGCCTTACATGTCATAGAAAGGGGCAACTTGTGGGACCACTTTATTCCAAGAACATCTGCCTGCCCCATTTACTCCCATAGTAAAGGCATGCTCCAAATTTCTCCTTTTAAATTTTCACACATAGCTGGCAGAGCATGGAAAGCAATCTAGTTGCCAGCTGCCATTCAAAAACAACAAATGACTAAGGGTTCATTTTGAGGAAGAGAAGTTTTAGGCAGCTTGAGCAAAGCATTTCTTTCACTGTGTCTCTTGCACAGTAATAAGTGGCGGTGTCCTCAGGCTTTAAACTAGTCAGTTGAAGGAACACCTGGTTTTTGGATGTATCCCTTGTGATGGTGATCCGATTCTGGAGAGCACTGTTATAGTTAGTGCTTCCACCACTCCAGATAGCACCATTCCATTCCAATGGCTTTCCAGGGGGTTGACGGATCCAGGACACGCCATAGCTTGTGATGGCAAATCCAGAGACTTTACAGGTCAGCCGTAGAGTATCTCCTGGCTTCTTA